GGGGGGTTTATTGCAACTCTGGGGAGTGAGACTCAAGATTCTCGTATAAAATTGCTATTATCTTACTTGAGCATGTAAAATAGTTTGATTGCTTGAATGATTCTTGTAGCAACATTTATAGTTTAACACGATCCTCTGCTAACTGGCTAAAAAAGAATGATCTTTTGTTTGATTTACTGTTGTTTGGATATCAATTGTCCCCATTTTTGTTTATCTTTTTCTTATGTATATGATTGGGTTGTTTTAAAGATGCATTCATGTTTAATTGTAACTTTACTTGTCAGAAATAACGAAAGGAAAATCTGAGTTGAATGGTGTATCTTGGTGCCTTTTTCGTTTGTTCTTGTAGAGCTGTTATTCTGTGAGCAGTGAAAACTTTAATTTTAGAGGAATAAGATGGAAATTTGTCATGATCGTGCATGCTTATTTTGCTCGTCAAACTGTATCAGGGATACCTCTGGTGGTTCCATTAGATTTGGCAATAACTCCAATGAGGGTACTTCAAGATCCTCTTCTCGGACCTGAATGTAGGGCTATGTTTGAGGAAGGGGAAGTAGATGACAGACTCTTGATTACCTTATTTCTAACCGTGGAACACCTACGAGAAAACTCTTCATGGAAGCCGTAAGTATTATATTAATCAGTGTTCATTCTTGGATAGAAAATTAATGTATTTTGCGGTGTCAATAATTGCTAAAAGACAACAGGTACTTTGATATGCTTCCAACCACATTCGGAAATCCACTTTGGTTTTCCGACGATGAGGTGTTAGAGCTTAAAGGAACCACATTGTATCGGGCTACTCAGTTGCAGGTATAGTTTCTTGATATATGGCATACTATTAATTAGGCCTTTCTCTTTGGCCATATATAAATCTCTGCTACCTGCCACTATGCCAGTGTGAGCTTAATAACATAAGTTGGAGACATTTTTTCCCCTCTCGGAATCGGATAGCTAATCCTCCTACCCAGTTGTCAGCCTTTGTCCTTGATAGCTAATTATTTTACTACTTTAGCATGAATTTTAACCCGTTCTTCGCATTATCAAGCACATGTAACATAAGGCAGGTTTCTGTTGCAGAGGAAAACACTGCAGTCTTTATTTGATGAAAAGGTGAAGAGGTTGGCTGAGAAGCTTTTAACTCTCGATGGACGTCCAGAAAGGTGTGTGCCATATCAATCTTTTATCACTAACGGTGAATGTAGAATGCACCTCTGCCTGAATATCGTACTGCTAAATACGAATTTATGTACTGCACTCACCTTTTCACGTGGATAATACATAGTGTATTACTGTGCTTATATTCTGTGCAAAGGATGTTGCATAATATGCTGACCACTTCTTTGCCTATGCATACAAGAGAGACTTGGTAGCCTCAGTTGTATTGTTGTCATTATTAAAACCTTTGGCTTGTTGCTTGTGCTTTTAATCATAATTTTGTTATTAGTCAATGTTCCTTCAGGTGGAAAATGAAATAATACGTAGTTCCATGCCTGCATGATTGCTCTCTATGCTAAACTCACATTTACTGATGGAGTGATGGTTACTTGAACAATTCATGCTAGAGAAAAAGCTATAACTTGTTATCATTCTCAAAAAAGAAAAGAAAAGAGAGGCTATATGTTGCACTCACCAGTGTACAGTGGAGAATGCATATTATATTAGTATACTTGGATTCAGTGCGAATGGTATTACATAATATACTGATCACTTAGGCACTCTCACCTTTTTGAAGTTGAATGGCTCACAAGCCAGTGTGTTGGTCTTGTGGTTCTTGTGATGTATTGGACTTTGCAAGTCCATCAGTATTAGAAATCTTATTCTAATTTAAAAATTTTAAACTTGTGATTGACAAGTTCATAACTTGTTGCTTTTTGGCAGAGATGTGAGATTTGAAGACTTCCTTTGGTATGCATCTTTCTGGAAACTAGAGTCTTTGACTTTCTAAACAATGGCCGTCATCTTTACAGTTCAATAGAATACTAATTTTTACGTAAGCTGCTATACGTTTTAATCTCGTGGACATCATAGGGCAAACTCCATTTTTTGGAGTCGAGCACTAAATATCCCTTTTCCCCGCTGCTATGTATTTCCGACGAATTCAGAAGGACAAGATAGCGATATTTCTAGCAAAATCATAAATTCTGGAACACATACTAATGACTGCGGCAGTTTATCTAACAGAGAGTCCGCAAAAGGTGAGGTCAATGTTCATTGTCATTAGAATATGTTTCTTCCAACAACTTCCCCTCTCCAATGATGGAATCCTATTCTCTCTTGGTAGTATGAGATCTAGTTCTGTCTATAATTTAAATGCCTATGATTTCAGTAGCCGAGCATGATGCACTCCAAGATAAAGTTGCTTCTGCTGCTTCCATCTCACAAGGAGAGATAGTTTGGGTGGAAGGTCTGGTCCCAGGCATTGATTTTTGCAACCATGGTAATTTAGCAGTCATTTGACACCACCTCTTCCTGGATTCACTGATAATTCTGCTCTGCAATTCTTTATTTGAACTATTTAATAATTCTGACTGATTAATGTGATTATATGGATGTGTGATGGAACCCGAGTACGAATATGTAGAATGAGCTAAAAGATATCTTCCATCTTGCTAGTTCCCTGATATCTGTAAATTTTTTAGGCCGCTTTTTCGCTTGTTTCCTTTCTCCGTAGGCTTCAACTATTTCAAATGTCTAGATACATGTATAATGCTATCTTGTATCTCCAGGACCATAAAACAACGTTATTTTAGGAATTTTCTTCAATTGGTAGAAAGTATCAGAAGACTGACTTCAATTGCAAGACTTGTGCAGCTGTTGTTTACTGTGTAGATTCTGTTAGACTAGCATTCCTTGCTTTCCAAGATATTATGATTTTGGCTTTATATTGATACTAACTGGCTTCCCTTTTCGAGACACCTTTATTATCTCCAGTAAGCTATTGTTTCCAGTAGTAGTGTCAATTTATGCTTACTACAATCAGGCGCACTCAGTCAACTTCTTGCTTGGATCTTTGTAGTTATGCATAGATTGATATGTTAGTCTTTGTATTTTTTCTTTTTCTTGACTAAGTGTTGTAAAGAGTGGATGAGTATATATGAAGTGTCTGGAATGTGGTTATATTGGTACAACCATTTCAGCTTCATCTTGATGGGAATTTCTAGTGCATCAATTTATTTCTAGCTTTCTTGATGGTGTTCTCTGCCATCTAAAAGCTTCTTCATTTAATGTCAATTACTGGACCAAATTGGAGTGAAATGGATAGTATGAATTTATATGCCGACACCATTAGCTTGGGATTGGGCGTAGTTGTGGGATAACAAAAAGCTCTTGTTTTTATATTTTTTTTTTTTTTTTTTTTTTTTTGAAAAGAGATGAAGACTAAA